CAACATGGCACAAGTATACATATGTAACAAACCTGCACATTATGCACATGTACCCTAGAACTTAAAGTATAATAAATAAATAAATAAATAAATAAATAAATAACTAATCCCATTAAAAAGTGGGCCAAGAACACGAATGGACAATTCTCAAAAGATGACAAGTAGCTGATAAGTATATGAAAAAATGCTCAATATCACTGATTATCAGGGATGTGCAAATCAAAACCATAATTAGATATTATCCTTTCCCAGTTAGAATGGGTATTACTAAAAAAACAAAAGAAAACACACAAGAAATAATAGATGCTGCTAAGGATGTAAAGAAAAGGGAACTCACATACTCTTGTTGGGAATGTAAATTAGTACAACCATTATGGAAAACAGCATGGAGATTCCTCAAAAAACTAAAATATTAATAGAACTACCATGTAATCCAGCAATCCCACTACTGGGTATCTATCAAAGTAAAATAAATAATTACATCAGAGATACTTGCATTTGCATATTTATTGCAGCACCATTCACAATAGCAAAGATATGGAATCCACCTAAGTGTCCACAAACAAGGAATGTATAAATAAAGAAAATATGTTATACTATATGCATACAATGGAATACTATTTGGCCATAAAAAATAATGAAATTATGTCACTAGCAGAAACATGAAAGGAACTGGAGATCATTACATTAAGTGAAATACACAGACACAGAAAGACAAATACTGCATGTTCTCACTCATAGGAGCTACAAAATTTGATGTCATTGACGTAGAGAATAGAATGATAGATTATCAGAGGCAGGGAAGGGTGCAAAACAAGATGCATGTTGGGAATATTTACCCTGATATATTCTTTTAGGATCTCAAATGCCAGGCTAACGAGTGTAAATTTACTTCCCTGTCAGTGGTGAGCCACTGACAGTTGCAGAGCAAGGTGCTAAGACAATTGTCTTTAAGAAATCTAATCTAACTGTCATGTTACCTAAATTGGTACTGAAGGTAAAGATATCAACACAGTATTAAAATAATATGGCTACAGAGGGTGAACTAAGGCAGTGGGAAGGGAGAAAAAGGTGCAATGTTTAAAGACAGATCATAGGATTTGGCCAGTGATCGGACACTGGGGCACAAGGAGAGATGAAAAAGATTTCTCAGGGGCTTCAAGTCCCTATTACAAGAAACAGGAAACAGAAGGAAAAAGAAGAAAGAAAATGACTTGATATTACTTGAGGGCATAAGGAGTTGAAGTACAGGGCATCAAATTGCCTATCAGGTATTTGGAAATGCAAGATAAGAGGTCAGCAGTGGGATAAAAACAGAAATAGGACAATAAGGAAATTACTTACTATTTGTGCAGCTAAAATACTGACACAAGTAAATTCTCATATTGAAAAATGCAAGTGTCACTACAATTGCTAGTTTACTTCTGTGGTGAGCAAGTCATAAATAATTAAACATCACTGGTCTTATCAAAGCCAAGAAGAATGCAATCTAATTGTTTTGAATCTAGCAATCTAGTAAATATTGTTTTAAATACTAGAAAACTTAACAATATAGTACTTCCTGTGAATTCTCCAAAACAAGCTTTCCTTAAATAAGGTCTACATAACCTCATAACACTCAGGAACAGAAATAACACTAGACTTTATTGGAAATTCTTCTTGTGGCACAGTACATTCAACATTAGGAGGTTACAAGGCAGATTCAAGGGAAAAGTATAGCAGATAAGTTTTTAGGCAAATGTTCCTAAACCTTTCTATTTGGCTTGCATTGCTAGATAACAAAAACCAGGCCAGGCACGGTGGCTCACACCTATAATCCCAGCACTTTGGGCAGCTGAGGCAGGCAGAGTACTTGAGGCCAAGAGTTCAAGACCAGCCTGGTCAACATGGTGAAACCCCATCTCTACTAAAAAAACAAAAATTAGTCAGGCGTGGTGGCACACTCCTGTAATCTCAGCTACTCGGGAGGCTGAGACAGGAGAACTGCTTGAACCTGGGAGGCGCAGGTTGCAGTGATCCGAGATCATGCCACTGCACTCCAGCCTAGGGGACAGAGTGAGACTCTGTCTCATAGATACACAGATAGACAGCAGGCAGGCAGACAGACAGAAAGCAAATACCAAATGACAATGGGAACTTGCTTTAAAACAGCAATAAAAACCTTCCAAAGAGAATGCTGTTATGACCAATGCGTAAACATGACTCTTCTCCAACCCAGGAAGAACGTTAACAGCAAATGAGATCCTGCCATTTAAGCAAATGCACCTAAGTGCTCTCAAACACAATGGGCCCTTGAACAACACAGGTTTGAACTGCTACCGAGTCCATCTATATATAGGTTTTCTTCTACCTTTGACACTTCGACAGAAAGACCAACCCTCCCTATTTCTCCTCCTCCTCCTCAGCCTACTCAAGATGAAGATGAGGATGAAGACCTTTATGATGATCCACTTCCACTTAAAGAATAGTAAATGTATTTTCTCTTATGATTTTCTTAATAGCATTTTCTTTTCTCTAGCTCACTTTATTGTAAGAATATAGTATATAATGCACATAAAATACATATATATGTTAATTGACTGTTTATGTTATAAGTAGAGCTTCTGGTCAACAGTAGGCTGTTAGTAGTTAAGTTTTTGGGAAGTCAAAACTTATACATGAATTTTCTACTGCGTGGGAGAGTGAGGGTGTTGGCACCCCTAATCCCTGTATTGTTCAAAGGTCAACTATATAAAACAAATTCTATTTCTGGCAACATGGTCAAAACCCAAATCCTAAAATGGACGAGAAAATAGGAAGAACAGAAATTAAATTATATTTTATCAAAAAAACAGCTATAATATAACCCAACCTGATTCATCTTATCTTGAATGATAAAAATCCAACATTACAACATGGTTAATCATCATTAAAATATAAAATAGAGCATATATGAGACAGGCAAATTTCCATCTTTCTAAAGACTATTGTCTCAGAATAACAGTTCAGCAAACTGATAGTAATCAACATTCTGTATAACTTTTAAATAGTTTAAGAGCTAATGCTAGTTTTTAGTAAATATAAGGGGAAAAGTGACTAATTTAAATATCTTTTGAGATAACCTATTCAGAATCTCTGCCATCATGCTAGGAAAAATAAGTTTCTATTCATTAATCATCCTCAGCTAACTTTCTACATGACATGCAAATGCACTATAGAGCAGTAGGCTGAATATACAGCAATTCCTAGGTGACAAAGGACTAAGAGAAAAGAAGCCAAGTTACTTGTTTAAAGTGATTCAGCAAGTTAGCAGCAAATCCCAATGTTCCTTCTTCCAATTGTCACTACCTCCCATAAGCCAATCATTATCAAAACTAATCAAGACTGAATAAACACTTACCAACAAAGGAGGCAACAAACACTTAAGACCCCTAGACACAGATTTGAAATATCTCCAAAATTTTAACAACTCAAAGGGCAAATTAAATGAACAGCGGCTACTTGTGAGCATCTTCCCACACTTCAAAATTCAAGCCAATACATCTGGATTTTATGCAACTATTTTCTTTCTTTCTACAAATGTCACACTGATAAATCTAAGAGTACTCTTCCACTGGAATACTTTGGTTACTTTCAGCACACCTTACCTGATCAAAAAGTTCAGTACCATCTGATCCTGCTGCTCTCATTAGTTCATCTTCTCCACCAGGATGATACTCCATATAAGGGCTGACATTATAAACGAAACCTATATCAAAGCAAGCAGAAAAAATATCCTAAATGAACTTCTCAAAAATTGTAAAACTTAAAAGTTTCAATGAATCTTTCCAAATACATTCCATTTAATTAATCACTGTTATTTCAAAGTATCAAGAACTAACTGTAAAGGATCTGAGATTTCATCATATTTGCAAGCAAACAACTTAACCTGCCACTTTCATGGGTCCTAGCAGATAACAAGAGACTCCTAGGTCGGAGACAAAGAAGAGTTTAGCACCCACATCAATAGCAGTAGTCAGAATATAAGCATTTGTGTCAGTTCACTGAACCCAAATTCCCAAGAGTGCTATGTGAAGAGGGCCAGATAACACCTGCACACTCAATGTGCTGCATTACAGGAGAGGAACTCTTGAGCTCAGGAAACTTGAATCTTTTATAAGCATGCCTGCCCTTGTTCCTGAGGGAGATATTTACTATACAGAAGAGTAAGCAAATCTGTGCTTTGTTCTAGAGGGAGACAGTAACATTCAAGGTTGTTCACAATGCAAATATCCTTTAAAAGATTGTCCAAAAAGACAGTGCCTCTGCTCACAAGACGTGCAGAAATGCAAAAGAAAATTGCCTCCCAACACAAAGAAATGAAATACCGTGTATACAATCTTTGAAAGTACACACACACACATGCAGAGAGAGAGAGAAAAAAAAGTAACTACTATATAGTCATAACATTTCCACTATTGCCCTGGTAGAAGAATCTGATGAAAAAAGAATCAAGCTCTAATCCATGTTTCTGATCATCTCAGCAAAGGTTAAGCAATGGTGACCACTTAGGCAAGCTTTGTGAAAAGGAAGCCCAACTCTTCTCAAAGATTATTATTCAGATTTTAATCTTTTTGTCTTCTCCAAGTATTTATTTCATCTATTCAACTGTTATTTATTTTTATGTTTTAAGAAAGAGGAAAAGGGAACAACAAATACAAAATATCTCAATGCATAGCTCTCCCAAGGAAGTTGCTTTTTCATTCTTCAAAACTAGATAGATACTAGACAAATCTAGCCCTAAAGACATCACAAAAGTGCAGTAAGAACAACTGGTTTTTAAAAAAATATCCAGGACTATTTCCTCTTTATATGATGACTTTCATGAATTTAAATAACCTCAGATAACTTAAAATGTTCATCCTATACAACAATCTTGAAAGAAAAGAAGGGGTTGGATTTCAGACCCAAGAAAAGTACTGCAGTTTTTTGACCAGCGATATTTTAGAAAATAACCAATCAGTCCAGATTTCTCTATAAAATCTCTTAAAGGTAAGCACAAAAGGAAGTAAATCCACAGAATTCCTTTTTTTGTTTATTTTTTTGTTTATTTATTTATTTATTTATTTTTATTTATTATTATTATTATACTTTAAGTTCTAGGGTACATGTGCATAACGTGCAGGTTTGTGACATATGTATACTTGTGCCATGTTGCTGTGCTGCACCCATCAACTCGTCAGCACCCATCAACTCGTCATTTACATCAGGTATAACTCCCAATGCAATCCCTTCCCCCTCCCCCCTCCCCATGATAGGCCCCAGTGTGTGATGTTCCCCTTCCGGAGTCCAAGTGATCTCATTGTTCAGTTCCCACCTATGAGTGAGAACATGCGGTGTTTGGTTTTCTGTTCTTGTGATAGTTTGCTGAGAATGATGGTTTCCAGCTGCATCCATGTCCCTACAGAGGACACGAACTCATCCTTTTTTATGGTTGCATAGTATTCCATGGTGTATATGTGCCACATTTTCTTAATCCAGTCTGTCACTGATGGACATTTGGGTTGATTCAGCAGCATTCCAAGTAAGTCTGAACAAAACTAGTTAAGCTCCCTCCTTTTTCCTTCCCCATATGCCTAGAGTCCCACAAGATTTAGAAGAATTTTTTCCCATTGTTTAATGCTCCAAAATCCAGAGACCAAAAATGTGAGTGGTAATGATTAGGATCTGAATTATTCCCAATAGGCTTTTTAAGACAGAGGATGCCTCCCAAACAAGAGTTCCAAGCTTTCTCTATAATCAATTCCTGACTGGAGCTGCTACAGTTTCTCAAGAACAAGAAATCTACAACCCATGATCATTTGTGATGGAATTTCATGAGTTTCAGCAACCAGCTTTTCCGGCAGCTTAAACAGCTATCCATGATGAGCACATAAAGCCTAAAACATTCCATACATGTTCTCTGCTAACCTGCTAGCCCTTTACATTGACCCTTACACTGTCACAGTCTTGTCTTTCTTTCTGATAGGGGCTAGGATCACTCTGTGGATGTGAGGAGCATCCCATCCTTTCCAGATGAAAAAAGCTAGGAATGTCTATCCCTTACTACAAGGAATTAACACTGTTAAATAGTGTCTCAGTCCAAGATGCATTAGATCAAAAAGCACTCAGCTGTGTTAGTAATTTGCTAATTATGAAACTTAAACCTAGTCCCAAAACAGAACAGGTGCACTTCTTTTGATTCAGAGCCTCTTCTTTGCTCTTTCTCTCCTTCCTTCTTATCTCCCATTTTTCCTTTTCAGAAGTATTTCCGAACAACTAAAAACTTAGACCCCTGGATGTGGCAGAGAAATACAAACACACAAAAAAACAAACTTTATGCTTTTTCTTCATGCTTTATTATATAGGTGTACCTCAGAGATATTGCAGGTTTGGTTCCAGACCACTGCAGTAAAGCAAACAAAGCAAGCTACACTCATGTTTTGGTTTCCCAGAGCATATGAAAGTTATGTTTAGGCCAGGCATGGTGGCTTATGCTTGTAATCCCAGTAGTTTGGGAGGTCAAGGCAGGAGGATTGCTTGATGCTAGGAGTTCGAGACCAGTCTGGGCAACCTAGTGAGATCCTGTCTCTACCAAAAAAAAAAAAAAAAAAAATTAGCCAGGCATGGTGGAGTGTGCCTGTAGTACCCCTGCTACTCGTGAGGCTGAGGTGGGCGGATAGCTTGAACACAGAAGTGTGAGGTTGCAGTTAGCCATGATCATGCCACTGCACTCCAGCCAGAAAAACAGTGAGGCCCTGTCTCTAAAATAAATAACAGATGTTTATGCTACATTGTTGTCTATTAAGTGTGTAATAACATTATGTCTAAGACACAAATGTACATACCTTTATTAAATATACTTTGATAAAAATGCTAATATCGTATGAGCCTTAAGTGAGTTAAACAGTTTGCTGGTGAAGGGTCTTGCCTTGATGTTGATGGCTGCTGACTGATCAACACGTTGGGTACTTAAGGCTGAGGTGGTGGTGGCAATTTCTTAAAATAAGTCAGCAGTAAAGCTGGCCATTCAACTCGACCTTTCATGAGAGATTTATCTGTAGCATGCAATGTTGTCTGATAGCATTTTACTCACAGTAGAACTGCTTCCAAAACTGACGTCAATCCTCTCAAACCCTGCTGTTGTTTTACCAACTAAGTGCATGTAATATTCTAAATCCTCTGTTGTCATTTCAACAATGTTCACAGTATCTTCCAACAGGAATAGATTCCATTTCAAGAACCACGACCTTTGCTCATCCCTAAGAAGCTACTCTTCAACCATTCAAGTTTTATCACACAGCAATTTCAGTCACATCTTTGCGCTCCACTTCTAATTCTAGTTCTCTAGCTGCTGTCACATCTACAGTGATTTCCTCCACTAAAGGAGGAACCCTTCAAAGTTACCCATGGGGTTGGAATCACCGTCCGCCAAACTCCTATTAATGTTGATACTTTGACCTCCCCTCATAAATCACAAATGTTCTTAATGGCCCAGAATGGTGAATCTTTTCCAGAAGATTTTCAATCTACTTTTCCCAGATCCATCAGAGGAATCACTATCTATGGCAGTCATAGCCTTATAAAATGTGTTTTTTAAATAACAAAACTTGAAAATCAAGATGACTCCTTGATTGATGGGCTGCAGGATGGATGCCATGTTAGAAGGTGATATAGTTTGTATATCTGTCCCAGTCCAAATCTCATGTTGAATTGTAATCCTCAGTGCTGAAGGTGGGGCCTGGTGGAAGGTGTCTGAATCATGGGGGCAGATATCTCATGGCTTGGTGCTGTCTTCATGATAGTTCTCACAAATCTGGTCATTTAAAAGTGTGTGGCACCTCCACCCCTCCTCTTTCTTTTTCTTGCTTCTGCTTTTGCTATGTGATGTGCCTGCTCCTGCTTTGCCTTCTGTCATGAGTTAAAGCTCTCTAAGACTTCCCCAAGAAGCCGATGCCAGCACTGTTTCCTGTACAGCTTGCAGAACCATGAGCCAATTAAACTTTTTTTCTTTATATATACCTAGTCTCAGGTATTTATTTACAGCAATGCAAGAACAACTTAATAGAGAAGGCATGATGTACACTGCTATCAGACCTCTTGGGTGACCAGTTGCTTTGTCAATGAGTAATAATTTGAAAAGAATCTTTTTTAATGAGCAGTAGGTCTCAACTCTGAGCTTAAAATATTCAGTAAACCATGCTATAAACACTGATGTACTGTCATCCAAGCTTTGTTGTCCCATTTATAGAGCACAGGCAGGGTAGACTTAGCATAATTCTTTAGGGCCCTAGGATTCTTGGAATGGTAAATGGACACTGACTTCAAGTCACCAGCTGCACTAGGCCTTAACAGAGAGTCAAGACTGTCCTTTGAAGCTTTGAAGCCAGGTATCCCTCTCCAGCTGTGAAATTCCTACGTGGCATCTTCAGCCAACAGAAGACTAATCTACATGGAAAATGTGTTGTTTCGTGTATTCACCTATATCACTGATCTTAGCTAGATCTTCTAGATAACTTGCAGCAGCTTCCACATCAGCACTCGATGCTTCACATTGCACTTTTATGTTATGAAGGTGGCTTATTTCCTTAAACCTCATGAACCAACCTTTGCTAGCTTCTAACTTTTCTTCCACAGCTTCCTCACCTCTCTCAGCCTTCCTAGAATTGAAGACAGTTAGTATTCTGCTCTAAATCAGGTTTTGGCTTAAGAGAGTTGTGGCTGGTTTAA